ATTATAATTCAGTCTCCCATTGCAGCCTTTCCTTTTGAAATGTGATTGCCTGATGTTCCTTGACAACTTGCAGGTCCGACATGCCATGGTCTCTCTTGAGACTAAACATAATTGACACCAAAATTATCTAGGCAGTCACTCAATTACATTCTCAGAATCCATATTCCTAGCTATCTTTGACTTATGTGTCCTTTTTTTGTAAAGATTGAACTCAAAAGTCTGTCTAACTGGAAAATTCGGTGTCTATAAGAAATTCAGAACTATTGTCTGTTGTCATGACGTGTTCAATTAAAGAAACACTTGCAAGCACTGTTTTGTATCTTATCATTTTAACCTCTGTCACCTTATTGGCAAAGTGCACTAACATATACCAGTGGGCAAATTGAGATCACATGTGCAATGAATCTTACTACTCATTTTTGTTAGCTAATCAGAAATGCAAATAGTTCCAGCTAAATTCCCAGTTAACCACCTGTGGTTAAACTGAGCATGTTCTAAAATTAAGGATTGCCCTTTTAGGACAAAGGAGATTTTTTGCATTTAGCGAGTTATGCATCTTTGAAATTTTCTCCACAGAAGGGAGGGCAGTTGAATATTTTTAAGGCTGAGTGGGATAGACTTTTGTTAGGTGAGGGAATTACAGATTGTCAGTACTAGATGGAAATGTGAAATTCAAGATACAAACACATGGCTGTGATCTTTTTGAAATGCGAAGCAGATTCAAAAGGCTAAATGGCCTACTTTGGCACTTATTGCATATGTTCATATGAATTTTTATTTTCATATTTTAAACAACTGAAGTATTTCATGTTTGCTCCACTGGAATTTACCACCTGAATCTATCTGTGAAATTATTTTACACCTAATAGGAATAAGAATTTATTTTATAAATTTTTCCTTTTCATCTACTTTCCTTAAAGTAAAGCTCTAATGTGTATTTTGTTTTTTGCAGAGTTATCTACCTTCTTCAAATATACCCAGTTGACTACAGTGCAAAATTACTTTTTACTGTTGCAACAGGTTCCTCTTCTGTACGTAAATCCTTTTCACCATATACTGTATAACTGTATTGGCATCATATTTCTCATTTGAAATTAATGATGGGTGGATTTATCTCCTATCTTGATTAAAACTAAAGATAAACCATCAATGGCAAATGTAGATACTTCGCAGCTATTCTGTTTTGATCTAAACTGTTATATTTGCATGAGGAAGTACTCCTGCTTTGCATGATTTTGCAAAGCACATTTGGAGCCACTTACATAGAGAGTTTAAAAATAACAAATATAGTCAAAAGATTGTTATATTTGGAGGAGGAAATGTCCAAAAAAGTTGCAAGTCTCCCAGACAGCAGTGTATATTTGTGCAATGCTGGGTTGCTTATAGTTTTGAACCTTGTGACATTTCTACCAAAAATCATGCAAGTAGGAAAGAAAAATATTGCAATGGTTTAGTCTAATAGGAGTGAGTGAAATAAAACCCACAAGTGACACTTAAAAAATAAATATGTGATATAACCAAATAGACCGGGCCATTTAAGGGCATCGAAGAAGTAGCACCATTTTCTTTTGAAAAATCAAGTTCCATTTTAACTATTATATTACTCTGTTTCTTTCTTGTTGTGCCTTGTTTTTTGATTTGAATGGGTAAGTATGCTGGCTCATAATATAGAAATTATAAACATTTAATAGTCTGGTCCATTGAACCACTGTTTTGAAATATACATTTAACATTTAATGCAGTTTAATAGTTGGCACATTTATGCATAATTAATAATTTGTTTTCTTATTTTCTAGCCTTTTGGTGGTGCCCAGTTGCCATTTGCTCATAGGAGCCGTGCTTTGCAATGTCTTCTTCATATTGCAGGCAGTGAGACGATAGCAAGGATCAGTCAGCAATCTATTGAGGAAGTCAAGTATGTTGCAGTTCAATCATGTGCTAAATGCGTACTAATCTTTCTATGTCACAGCATTAACCCCACCACACACCTGCTCCCCCTATGTAAGCAACCCAATTTCAATGTGTTCAATGGTTGATGGTGACAAAGAAAAAAGTTGCAATTAAAAATTGAGAAGAAAATGTTAATTTATCTCTTTCTCCTGGTCTTCAGCTTAGTAAGTATGGCATTGAACCATACAGATAAGCAAAGTTCCAAATTTGACCCCAGTTCTTTGCTAGATTAGATGATGAGCCATGATAGTTCTAGGGAAGTATGGTAAACTTCTGAATTGTCAGACTTTGTGATGGCAGTAAAGAATAAGCAATTGGCTTCCCAGAACTGCCTAAAACCACATCTGTTAGATATATCCAAGTAAACAGAAGACCAGACTTGGCAATGATGACCCCTATGATTGAATTATTTCTGCCACTGTCCAGGCTCATACATGAATGATGGTAACTTGAGTATAGTGCTGAAGCGCTCTTGTTATTTCTAGAACATGTATTGTGATTCTAAAAAGAGGGTTGTAATTAGAAAAATATTATTTGGTACATTTAAAAAAAAACAATTATTGTTAAATGCAACATATGGGAATGTTTTGGGTCATATGTAACTCAATACTATTTCAGATTTTATCAAATGAAGAGGACACTCAATAGAAAGCATACCTTAGTCATGCTGTGATAACTCAAGTTACTACAATGACACAGATCTTCCTTGAGATGTTTGCCTGTCAGCTTAATGCTCTGTAACTACAAAGCTGAGATTTTTTCTTTCTTTATTTAAAGCTTGCATTTCATTGTGAGGGCTTTAGGACAATCTACATCCAACAACCTCTTTGAAAACTTAGCATATATTGTGACATCTGGGATAAATTGTACCTCAGTAGCTGAGGCAATACTCTACATTCTTAGAAAAAAATCAAAAAACATTCTAAATAAAACAACCTACAACATTTTTTTGTTGGAAGTAAATTCATGCCATTCCCTAATATTAACAGATCCTGTTTCTTAACAAAAAACAAATTTTTAGGCTGGATATGAGCCAAAAATTAGTTAGTTATTTGTAAGTGTGAATTGTTGCACTTTGGGAGATCAAATGTCAAAGAAAAGTATACAGTTAATGTAAGGATGCTGAACAGTATTGATCTACAGAGGGATCTTGAGGTTCAAGTTCAAAGCTCCCTGAAAGTGGCCATGCAAGTAGATATGGTGGTAAAGAAGGCTTATGACATGCTTGCTTTATTGGTCGGGCATTGAGTACAATAGTCAGATGTCATGTTGCAGCTTTATAAGATTTTGGTAGGCCATGAGTATTGCGTTCAGTTCTAGTTGCCACATTACAGGAAGGATGTGGAAGCTTTAGAGAGGGTGCTGAAGAGGTTTATCAGGATTCTGCCTGGATTAGAGAGTATGAGCAATAAAGAGAGGCTAGAAATACTCGGGTTGTTTTCTCTGGAGTGGCAGAGGCTGGGGGAGACTTGATAGAAGTCTATAAAATAATGAGATATATAGATAGGGTAGACGGTCAGAAACTCTTTCCCAGAGTTGAAATATCTAATTCGAGGGGACATTCATTTAAGGTGAAAGGGGGAAAGTTCAAAGGAGATGTGAGGGGCAAGTTTTTTGCACAGAAAGTGGTAGGAGTGTAGAACATACTGCTAGGGGTGGTGGTGGAGGCAGATACGGAGGGGTGTTTAATGGACTTTTTAGATAAGCATGAATATGCAAGGAATGGAGGGACATGGACCAAGGGCCGGCAGAAGGGATTAATTTAATTTGGTGTCATGTTTGGCACTACATTGTGGGCTGAAGGGCCCATTCTTGTGCTGTACAATTCTATATTAGATATTTTCCTCGGGCCAAACTATAAATATTAGGTTTCATTAAAATCCGTCAATTAGCTTTGAAGGTGTATTGTTTATAGACTAACGGGTGAAAACAGCGCTTTCACCGACCTTCATGGCTGAGCTTTTTTTAATTCACTTGTGGGGTGTGAGCATAGCCGGCTAGCCAGCATTTATTGCCTGTTCCTAGCTGCCCTTGAGAAGGTGTTGGTGAGTTGCAGTCCATGTGCTGTAGTTTGACTAACAATGCACTTAGGGAGGGAATTCTAGGATTTTTGACCCAGTGACAATGAAGGAACAGTGCTATTTCCAAGTCAGGATGTTGAGTGGTCTGGAGGGGAACTTACAAGTGGTGGTGTTCCGATGTATTGCTCCCATGTCCTTTTGAGATAGAAGGTGTTGTCCAAGGATCTTTAGTGAATTTCTGCTGTGCTTCTTGTTGATAGTACGTGCTGCTGCTACTGAGCATCAGTGATGGAGAGTGTGGATGCTTGTGGATGTGGTGCCAATCAGGCAGGCTGCTTTGTCCTGGATACTTGTCAAGTTTTGTTGGAGCTGCAGCCATCCAGGCGAGTGGGAGTATTCCATCAAACACCTGATTTGTGCCTTGTAGATAATGTCAGGAGTCAGGAGGTGTGTTACTCACAGCAGTATTCCTAGCCTCTGATAAGTTCTTGTAGCCTCTGTATATATATGACATGTCCAGTTAAGTTTCTTGACAATCGTAACTCTGAGGACATTGATAGTGGGGATTCATTGATAGTTACACCATTGAATCTCAAAGGTTGGTGGTTAGATGGTTTCTTATTAGTGATGGTCATTGCTGGCATTTATGTGGTGCAAATATTACTTGCTGCTTGTCAGTGCTATCCTAGATATTGTCCAGATCTTATGCATTTTAACATGGACTGCTTCAGTATCTGAGGAGTTGCAAATGGTCCTGAATATTGTGCAATCATTGACCAATATCCCTACTTCTGACATAGTGACAGTTGAAAAGTTATTGATGAAGCAGCTGAAGATGGTTGGGCCAAGGACAGTACCCTGAGGAGCTCCTGCTGAGATGACTGACCTCCAGCAATCACAATCATCTGTGTTAACAAGGTGTAGAGCTG